AAATTTTAAAGCAAGAAGAATTTGAGATTTTGAATATAGTACTAAGAATGTCCGACATGGCAATGAAGAGGAGTGTTAAAAATAGCATTTCCAAGTTAGGATTTCAAGTGAAAAGGGTGTAGTATCAGGGTAACTAGAATTGTGGGATAATTAGGACTCCTATTAGCATTTGCATTCCATTGTTATTAGAGAGTAGATGAGGGTCTGCCTAAAAGGAGTCCTATTAGCTTCAGATGCTATTAAGAAATGCTAGGATTATATATATATACATATATATATATATATATATATACATGTCTGTGTGATTTCATGTCACCGTATAATGGCAATATAATGAAATCACATTTTTTGAAAACCATGTTTCCATTTGTATAACCCCATAATTTGCATACAATTTATATTCAATTCAATAATCAACCGCAATAAGATCAAATTCAATTTGCACTCTCAATATGGTAAAAATGAATCCCCTCCAACAATGAATTTAGACCATCCGTTTGATGAATTTCAATATCCAGGCCTTTACGAAAATTATTAATCTAATGATAATAACTCTATCTCAAAATTTTTGGAAAAGAAAACAATCCTCCTAGGTTTAGATCTAAGCATCTCACTAAAATGGACATCCTATATTAATTGCACTCAAAAAACACTTTCTAAGGTGTGTTCAAAATTTTCCTTTATGTGATAGTTAATTACAACGAAAGGAGAGTATATTAAAAAATGTGGTCAAACAAATGGTGCTAACATGGTTTTTGAAAATTATTTTATTATGTTACTATAAGGTTAGAATAAGGCGAACGCTTTATGGGAAAAAAATAAAGCCTCACCTCAAAATTCACTGAAAATTATAGTTCCAGCCTCATTAAAATGTCAGAGAAAAACAGATGTCACATTACCGGAGCAATTCACTTCTCAATTAGTGTAACAATGTCACACTAGCACAAGACACAACCAAAGAGATAGAAAAAGAACAATCAAGATGAGATGAAAGAAAAAAACTTTCATTCAAAGATGAAAAATGAGGTACACAAAAGTATTACAAACTTGATGCGTGTGACCCAATTTTCCCATCACATAGCCATCTTAAATAGAGGTTCTTACAACCATATTTACTACAATTACTACCCACTTACAACAATAACTATTAGCCACCTAGTAGTTCCATAACTTCTTACTACCCATAATTACAAATATAGTGTTACTACATCACTCAAAATAAAAAATAATATAAAAACTAATATAATTTTTTAAAAAGATATTTTAACAATTTTAACGCTCCCTCTTAAAGTAATTTTCTAAAAAAGAAACCATGCCTAGCTTTTAATTATGATGGGATTATCTCCCTCACTACTCAAAATAAACCATTTGACAAGCCATCAAGGAGATTCTCAAACTCCACCAAGGATGATGGTGTAGCCCACCCTTGAGCCCAAAGTCTCAAATAAACCTAGTTTTTAACCTAAACAAATGTGAGAAAGACATACTCTTTCTAAACCCAATCATTTCTTTATCTTCACTTATATACCCCAAACTTCTCCCTTTCTCCCTCTTCATGTGTCTCTCACTCTCTCTCTCTCCTCCCATATTTTTCCAAACATCTTTCTCTCTCCTCCCGATAACCTCTCACCTTCATGAAGCTCTTCTATCTCTCTAGAAATTTTAGAGGATGACTTTTAGAAAATGTTTGTCTTTTTAGTTTATTTAACATAAAAAAACAGGTTTAAATTAAGTCAAGAAATTAAAAGAAATAAAATTTACAATTTTTATACCCCAATATATCTTTTAAAACTTTAGGTCTGTTGTGAAATGAAACCTAAAAATAAAAGGTATGAAGATATTTTCCCTAAAAAAATATCTATTATAATCTCTTGAATTCGGCTAACAAAGATTAAAGAGGGCGTAGAAAGCCAAAGAGCCCAAAACACACCAAAGAAAACATAGGAGCAACAAAAGAAGATGGTCACTAGTCTCATATTGATTCAATTTTTATTTCTTTCTATTGTTGGCTAAGACAAAGCATAATAGAAAGAAAACAAAACAGGCCTTCTACTTATTGACAGTTATCTCTATTTGATCGCAATAATAAAAGGGAAAAGTTTAAATAGAGCCTAGGCTCTAAACAATCAAATTAGAGCCTACCTCCAAAATTTCACTAGAAGCGGTTGTTTTGATGCTCAAATATCCTCAAATTGATCATCTCGACATCAAGATGCATGGACATCAGAAAAAAATGGATTTCAAGTTTTGGAAATAGTATATTTTGAAATGCATTTTTTTACCGTTATTTTTCAAGATTTTCAAGTTTTTATAGATCAGTCAATCTATATTATTTTTTAAGCTTTAAACTTTATAAATAAATATGAAAATATATTTTAAGGCTATCACAAAGATTTCCAATATTGAAACTCCATTTGTCGAGACTATTTGAATGTAGGCTCTAATTTAATTGTTTAGAGTCCAGGCTCTATACAAACTGCACCCATAATAAAATAAGGGAAAAGTTTATATAAGGTTGCAACCTTAAAATGTAGAATTACAGATACACCTCAAAAATATATCGAAAAGGTTGTTTTAATGTTGAAAAACCCTCTATTTGATCATTTCAACATTGAGATGTATGAATATAACAGAAAAGTGTTCTTAAGTTTCAGAAATAGTGCATCTTGCAACACATTATCTAGGTTGTCCATCTTCATCTTGCAACACATTATCTAGGTTGTCCATCTTAAAGATTTTCATATGTTATAGATCTCCTTGATTTGAACTATTTTTGGAGTTTAAAATTTTCTAATAAGATATGAAAATAGATTTTAAGATAATCCTAAGAATTTTTTACAACAAAATTACATGTTATGAAAAAATTTGGAGGTGCGCCTTAATTGGATTGTTCAAGGTTGCAACCTTATGGAAACCACACCCATAAAATAATTATGATAATATTCCTGTAAAATCAATTATATAATCAATTTATCTTATATTTTAGTACTCCATGACGTTATCATGAGAAGATACTCTATGATAATAGCATATATGGAATTTGAATGCCAAATTAGTAATGGAAAATGTTTCTATACTTCCATTACAGTATAGAAGTTTTATCCTCTCCCTACCATCCAGCCATCCAATTTTGATCAAGAGAGCCACTCACCATTTGATCTTAGATCCGACGTCTCAAAGTATTTTATTTTTAGTTTTTTTATACAAATTATATAAATATGGAATTCGATATATGCCAACTTCTCATTGAGGCGCACCTATAAAAAATATTAAAAATAATTTTTCGATAAAATATAATGATCAAAATACCTATTGAAAATTTCAAGGGTATTTTGATCATTTTATTTTATTGAAAATATTTTTATATATATTTTTCACTAGTGCGAGGTCAATAGAGGAATGGACGTCCAAAATTTGGTGCCAAAAAAGTTCATAGAAAAAAAATTAAAAATAAAATAGTATGGAGACGTGACATTGTGATTAGGGCAATCTTAGCCCTCCATTCAGAATGGACGGTTAGATAAGGGGAAGTATGTAAGTTTTATGTTGTAGAGGAAGCATAGAAAGCTTGTCCATTAGTAATTTGAATTTGAAAAGAAACACATTACTCAACTAAAAAACAGTTGTCAAATACCGATAAAGCAAAAGGGGAGACATTTGCAAGAAATTGGTAATGGGTATGTAAATTGAAGATAATAAATAGATAATAATTTTTTATATTTAAATTTCTTTGGGGAAATCCAAATTTCATCCTACAATTTTCTACTTCCTATAAACTTCCCCTTTATAGAAATTATAAACTCCCCCCTCCCATCGAGCCCTCCAATTTAGGTGAAGTGAGCCACTGACCATTTGATCTGAGATCCGATGTCTCAAAGTATTTAATTTATAATTTTTCAATAATCTATATGAATAAGAAATTTGATACGTGCCATCATCTTGCTCACCAAAATATATATATATATATATATATATATTAAATAATTTCTTTTAGGGGTAGTTTGGTTATCTTATTTCATCAGAAATATTTTTTTATATTATTTGCATGTGCGGTTTAAGAGAGGAGTGGACACCCAAATTTGGTGTCAAAATATTTAGTAGAAGAAAAATAAAAAATAAAGTAGTGTAGAGATGTGACATTGTGATTGAGTCCATTTTAGCTATTTATTCAGATCAAACGGCTGGATAGGTAGAAGTATATAACTTCAATACATTAGGGGAAGTATAGAAAGATTTCCCATGCTTTTATAGGAAAGCAATTTTTATATTTTGATTTTTTATAGGATAGGTAGTAATTTTTATAATTTAATTTTTTATATATTTTGCTCAACTTTATCTTTCAGAAATTTTAAATGTATTTGTGTCCCAGACTATTTATAGTTTAAATTCGTATTAACTTATTCTACTAAAAGATCAATCTACAATAAAGAATATTAGAATCGCAATAATTATCCAAAAATTTCCCAATAAAAGAGAATGATATTATCCACATTAAACTCCCTAAGGATAATACCCAATAAAATAATTGCTACTAAGCCATAACAAATTGTGCAATATGGTTAAACTAGAAGCATCGTGGAGGACCAATTGGTCAGAGATGTTTTTGGTTTGAAGTCAATTAAGAAGCATCCTTCCATTTAACTATTCATTTTCTTATTCTTTTATAAAATTTCTCCAACCTCCTCAGTAAAAGAGCTTAAAAATCCTGCTCATGCTCTAGAAATTAAAAAATATATTAAATTAGTGTCTTACCTCTTTAAGCCTAAATCCTTATCCTAAATATGACACCATCCTAAGGTCATTCTAAAAAAGAATGAAAATTCCTTAATTTTTAGTGGGTCAAAAGAGAAAAATAAAGAAAGGGTGAGTGCTTAATTTCCTCATAGTAGTGGAAGACTAGGGGAAAGACTCAACACAAGTCGGGAAGTGAGGGCTGCCAAAATTTCACCATAAAAAGCCTCATGCATCTTTGGTCTTGCATCAAGAGGCTAAGGGCCAAAAATGGGCTCTCAAATGGGATTTCTTGTTCTCATTGCACTGTGTTTTGTTGCCTCTACTTTGACAGATGCCTTACAATGGCTCCAAAACCCACCTTCTTCTTATGCTCTTTCACCGGCTCATGGCCTTCCCATAGAGCAAACAGTCCCACCATTTCAAGACCTGGCCCCTTTTCACCCTCCTCCATTGATGCAACAACCACCTCCATTGGAACGACCAAGTTACAGTCTTCCACCAACTGAAAAACCACCTCTTTCTCATAGACCTCCATTACTCCGGCAAAAACCGCCTCCTTTTCAAATGCTGTCACCTACCTCTCATCCTCCACCACTGGTGCAAAACCCACCTGCTGTTCAAAAACCAGACCCTATTCATGCCCTCGCTCCTTTGCAAAACCCGCCGCCCACTTATGCGCCCCAGCCTTTGCAAAGACCACCTGGAGTTAAGGCACCAACCCCTACTTTTGCACCCCCACCTGTGCAAAAACCACTTCCTATTCGGGTGTCATTGCCTGCTGATAGCCCTGCACCAGAGCAAAAGCCACCTTTGGTTCAGCCACCTGGTTATGCCCCTCTTCCACAGTTACTGCAAAAACCGCCTACCGTTCAAGCACCGCCACCTACGCACAGAACCCCACCACTGCAAAGCCAGCCACCTGTTTACACCCCCCCATCGATGCCAAAACCGCCTCCTGTTCAGGCATCACCACCTATTTATGCACCCCCACCTATGCAAAATGCACCTCCAGTTCAAAAACCACCACCCACTCATGGCCCTGCTCCTGCAGCAAAACCTCCTCCGGTTCAAAACCCACCACCCACACATAGCCCTGCTCCTGCACAAAAACCACCACCTAGTAGTAGCCCCCCACCTACGCAAAAACCATCTCCGCCTCCAAAACTGCCTCCTACTTTTGCACCCCCACCTATGCAAAGGCCATCTCCCGCTCCAAAACCGCCCGCTACTCATGCACCCTCACCTATGCAAAGACCAACTCCCGCTCCAAAACCACCTCCTACTCATGCACCCCCACCGACGCAAAGACCAGCACCTACTCATGCACCCCCACCAGTTCAAAACCAGCCTCCATCTAATAAATCACCTCCTAATTATGCACCCCCACCTAAGCAAAAACCACCACCTGCTCATAGTCCCGCACCTGGTCAACAACCACCTCCAGCTGGAAAACCACCACCTACTTATGCACCACCTCCAATGCAACAACCACCTCCAGTTCAAACACCACCACCTACTTATGGCCCCCCACCTATGCAAAAACCGCCCGCAGTTCCAAAACCACCACCTACTAATGCTCCACCTCCTAGGCAGAAATCACCTCCAGTTCAAAGCCCACCTCGTACTTATAGGCCCCCACCTACGAAAAAACCGCCACCTACTTACACACCACCACCGAAGAGAAATCCAACCCCTCCTCAACGACCTCCTCGTACTTACAGGCCACCGCCAATGCGAAAACCTCCTCGTACTTATAGGCCTCCACCACTTCGAAAACCACCTCCCGTTAATAAGCCCACACCTACTCACAGGCCACCGCCAATACGAAAACCTCATCCGGTTCACAAACCGCCTCGTATTTATAGACCACCAGTAACCTACAGACCACCTCCAATTTACAGGCCACCAAAGGAGCATAAACCACATCCAGGTCATAGATCTCCCCCAACCTATAGCCCAAACCCAGGTAGAAAACTGCCTCCAATTCATAAACCCCCAACTTATAGGCCACCACCAGTCAGAAAACCACTCCCTTAAATATAAGCCACCACCTTACAAAAAGCCACCTCCCACTAAGGTGCAGCCCTAGATTCAGTGATTCTTATCTTTGAAAATGAAGTAGAAGCCATCAACTCAAAATAATATATTTACCCCAAAAAAAACTCAAAATAATGAGTGTTTTGAATTTCGACTAGTCTCTCTTATTGTATCAGAAATTTATCAAGAATTACTACTTTATTAGTGATAATTGGTGTGGATTTGTTTTTCTTTCTTCTTTTTTTTTATTCTTGAGTTTTTGTTATTTGATGAGGAATAAAAGGCCGGCAGTTACAGATTGAGAGGGTTCTCACGGTAATGTCCTATCTTTTTGGCTGCATTTTCATGGTACTCAATTATTGTGCTTGTAAATACAGACATTTTGGTGCTCATTGTGTCTACGAACTTTATGAATGAGATATGGTAGATGCGTGCACTGACAGTTAAAGCAAAATCCCTAGAAATTTGTTCTTCCTGCGTGAAAGTCACATT